TTATTATTATTATTATTATTTGTGTGTGTACTGTCAAATTGAATCTGACTGGTACAGGAGGAGATTGTCCCTCCTTCTTCAGCAGAGCATCTGGAGGATTTGAACCACGTGCCTCTGGGATTGCAGTGCAGCTTCTTGCCATTAGGCCACCAGAGCTCGCCTAAACGGTCTTTGGAAATCTGCTACAGGGTCAGCTATGAGTAACTTCTGACTCAATGGTCCACAGCAACAATAGGAAGATGAAGGGGTTGGGGAAAGCCTGAATTGAATAAGAAATTACAAGGATTAAAATGAACCTTTCAGAAGGAAGGAAATAATGGAATATAGTAGTAAGGGACAGGTACTCTCACAAGTGTGACAAGGCTATGTTTGAGCACCTCACCTTCACAGGTCCATCATTGCTCTCTGGGATAGGCTCAGATTTCAAGTATCTCTTCAGTATGCCATCAAAGTAATCCTGCAGGAATCTCTCAAGAGCCTTGCCATCACGCCTATAAATAGGAAGACAGGTTTAGGTTTATAAAAATTTATGTTCATCACTGAGATGATTAAAAACAGTATCTTAGTTTTATCTATTATAATACATAGAACTAGCCAATGAACAAAATAGTAAATGACTTCTACTTTTAGTAGACAGCATCAAATTGAAAACAGCAAGTTCAAAGATCAGACTGAGAACGTAGGAAACAATGAGTTTATGAAAACGGGAGGTTCAATTAAAAAAAAGTGGCTGTACAACATGAATGCAACGAACGTCACCAATTTGTACAAGAAGTTGATGAATTAGTGCATGCCAGTGTATTTTCTCAACAACAATAAAAAAATAAATATAAGAAATAAGAGCAAGTAAGGAAAAAAGTATTGCTCTTCTGGAGATTCCTCCCCCCCAAAAAAAGAACCAGGTCTTATTTTGTTACTACTCTAAAAGAATATGACTATTTATTGTATTTATTCTTTCTGATTGGTTCACAAGGAAGTTTCTCTTCTGCTTCCATCTCCCCATGTCAGAAGGTCAATGTCCTAACAATAGTTTTCCATCTGTTGAAATGATAAATGGTTGACGTGATCTTAAATTACATCAATGTCTAAAGAGGTCCTATCATCTCTATCTACTACTACTTATAATTGGATGGAAACAATCACATAACGGCGAAAAGCTGGCATTCTTTTGTTAGTGTTCAGAATTAAGGATCATGGCCCTTTAAGTAGCTATAAATTGACTGAGAACATTACTTTTTTTTTTTTTAATATTCAAAGATCAACTGCAAGATTTATCTTCTTCACATTCTAATGTTCTTTCAAATCCTCAGTTGTTTTAAAGGCTTTAATTTTTTCCTTGATGCATCAGAAAATCCCAAACTCAAGATAACATTTAACTCACGAGAACTCCTCCTGCATGACAAACTTCTCTCCTTTAGCAGTTCTGATGGCAACAACAGGAATCTCTCCAGCAGTGCTTTCCAAGCCAAAATCAGAAAGTTCATGGCTAAAGGTTTTGCGGCTAGCTATAGCAAAGTTGAGTTTGTGTCCGGCATCCAAAAATTTCTTTGCCACCATCATTACTCTGTGGGGGGAAAAAAAGGAGAGATTTGTGCTAGAATTTTAACAACAAATAAAGCACTTTTGAAGTAAAAAGGGAGGTGGGAAAGCTAAGACTAAATTCTACAGTCCATGCGGTCCTCAGAAATCATTTTTTTTATGCACTTTCCTCCCTGCCCACTACTCCCCACCAGTTCGCTCCCCTCTCCGAAAAGGAAAAAAAAAATTTCCTTCATTGGTATACAATTTCCCCATCCCTTCCTCCCAACCCCCCGCCCCGAGTACACTTCTCTATGCGACCTTAATTCTGGATTCCTGTGCTAACCATAATAATCATATATCACCTCTAGAAATCATTCTAAACATGTGTTCTTGGGCACTGACACAGAATTATGGTGTATACCAATGTCTATATAAACTTTCATTGCCAAACTGATAAACTGAATCATATAGTCCATTCTCAATGGATTCTGCTCTATTGTGTAAATGATGAAATTTATTTATTGTATGTACAAGAACTTGCCTGAAAAGATAATTTATAAAGGATAAAATGCACCAAGAATTTTAAGGGGCAAGTAAGCATGGTGTTGTAAGGTCATTTTCTATCACATTTGTACTTTTTATTGGAAAGTTAAATACAAACTTGTCCAAGATTTTAGACATTGTTTAATTGTCCTTACGGACTAAAATTTTTTGCATGGAGTCAAATGTTCACATACTTACCTGCTTTTCTATCACATGTGGTAACAGAAATAAACAGCGTAAATACTGGATAAAGTTGTTTACAACTTACCTGTTTCTCCAATAGTTGGAACCTTTGGTATTCTTTTCATAGTCTACATCATAGTAAGCCACAAGTAAGTCCTTGCCTTGCATCAAATCTTTATTATCTTCTGTCATGTGAGGACAGATCCCAAAACTAAAATAAAAATTCATTGTTAAATTTAGCCAGTTTCAAAGTATTCCATGGAATAACCATAAAATAAAATAAAAAAATTCATAGCACTTACAAAGAAAAAAAATGTTTCCAACATTTAGGATAAGTAATTAACAACATATAAGTACAGAACCACAAAAAGAGCTTCATTGCCCACCTGCTACTGGTTTTAATACATGCTCAAACAAATATTGTGACAATCCCTTAAATAAACCTCATCTTAGGCCAAACCATGACTCTGCTGAATAACTTAGATACCAAAAATGAAGCCAAAAAAATCACATACAAGGTATAATTACATACTCACATGTTTTCTTGAATAAACTTTTTTATCTTGCCACTAGTCATTTTCTGTTCTGTATATCCCACAGTCTTGTCCTCAAACTTGTTAATCAAATGTGAAGGACGAAACAAAGTGATTCCCCTTAAAAAAACAAAAAAAGGATTTGCAACAATGAATGAATGGAAATCCAAGTTCTATATAAACTTTTATTAAAATCACAATTTTTTTAAAAAAAGGCTCTCTCCGCTTCCAACATGACAAAGAAAAGGAGAAACAACAGTAATGCCAAAAAGGACCGTGGCCACCTGCAGCCTATTTGCTACACCAACTGCGCCTGGTACATGTTCAAAGACAAGGCATTAAGAAGTTAGAAATTCGAAATACAATAGAGGCAGCTGCTGTGAGGGACATCTCCAAACAGTGTCTTCGACAGGTGCTTCCAAAGCTCTATGTCAAACTGCACTACTGTGTGAGTTGTGCCATTCACAGCAAGGTGGTGAGGAACTGTACTTGTGAAGCCCGGAAGGACTGAACACCTCCATCTACATTTAGACCTGCAGGTGCTGCCCCACAACTACCACCAAAGCCCATGTAAGGATTTGACTCCTTAAAGGCTGAAGGAAAAAAACCTGTCTGAAAATAAAATGGAAATTAAAAGAAAATGTATTACACATTGCTAAATATTTATATTTCATAACCATCACAGGTAATTGGTACTAGATGGGAAGAAACTGATTTTATTTTTTTTAAAAAAGAAGCATTAGAACTAAACAGCCTCATCTTTAAGACTCAAAATACATGCCAGGACAATAATACCTGTCTCACAAAATTGTCAGCAGGATTAAATGAGATTAACAGCAGCAAATAGCTTATAGTACTACATATTCTTATTAAGTATAAACAAATAACGCAAGTTCTTGGACATTTTCCGTTACATGCTTATCCCAAATAATCTTACCTAGCTCTATGATTTCAAGAATATTTAAGTGTGTAACGAGTATGAAGATCCAAGACGGGGAGGGTGGAAGTAGAGGGGTGAAGATATGTAGGGCAGGGATGTGTGTGTGTACTGATGGGGAGGTTGTGAGGGAAATGGGAAGGAGGTGGTATGAAAAACAACGTATTCAAATTTTGTAAATAAACTATAAAAAAGTTTTATGTAAAATAGTATATGAATGAAACATACTATATTTATACTATATAATAACTAAAGTTATTACTATATGAAAATCAATTAAAAAAATTAAAAAAAAATATGTGGATGACCTATATATTTTTATCCCAGTTGCCAATACTTTCCTGGAAAAAATCATCTAAAGAGTTGCTTCTGAGGAACGAGGAGAGAGGAAATTATGCACCAATGAATGGGTATTTTTAAAAAAATGAACTGGGAATGGGGGAGGAAAATGTACAATTAATGAAAATTCAACTTTTCCGTAAACTTTTCACTGAAATCACATAATGCTTAAATAATTTACTTATATGTACATTTTTACATGTATGCACACATATGCTGAATTCTCCAACTAGATTTTTTTTCTTCTTCTTGTATGCCATTGAATTGGATATGACTGGCACAGGAGGAGATTGCCCCCTGTGGGTACCTGGTGGATTTGAACCATGGGCCTTCAGGATTGGAGAGCAGCTTCTTGCCACTAGGCCACCAAAGCTCCCTTAAACCTTTTTTTGAAACAAAGCACAAAAGTCCCAAGTTCACAGAACAATAGCACTCAGTCCAGAAAATGAAAAGTATACTGTCACTTACTCTCCATCATCATCATATTTGTTCACCAGAGACTCAACATTGGTGTGTGCAAATCGGAAGTTATCCCTCAAGTTGCTGGCTGCTTTTAGGAATTCAGAGTGAGCTTCACTGAATAAGTCCTTGAAAAAACCTATAACCATAAGAAAGAAGCAGTAAGTTCTGACATCTATTAAAAATATTTACATTTTTTATGTATCAGCATTTACTCAATTACTGATAAAAACAATGAGATTAATAGAAACTGGATCTACTTTGACATGACTGCTTATGATCGTGAACAAAATATTTTGGATGAAGACATGTTTTTTAGGGAACTCAAGGAAGAGGATTTGTCAGGATTCATATATGTTGTAGTTGTTATATGACATCAAGTCGCCTGTGATTCATAGTACCCCTATGTACAACAGTCTAAAATCTGCTCTATCCTGTGCCAATCTTATTTTCTCCAACACACCTACCCCCATTAACTCAGTCCATCTCATCGAGGGTCTCCCTATTCTGCGCTATCCCTCCACCCTCTCAAGCATGATGTCCCTCTCCAAGGACTGGTCCCGCCTTGCAACATGTCCAAAGTATGTTAGACAAAGCTTCAGAATCCTTGTCTCCAAGAAGCAGCCTGGCTTCACCCTCTCCAGCACAAACTTGTTTGTTCTCCTAGCAGTCCATAGTATGTTCAATACTCTTCTCAAACACCACAGCTCAAAGGCATCAATTCTTCTATTATTCCTAACCATTGTCTGTTCTCTGATGTATAGCAAGTAACTGCGAAGACCATGACCTGTATCAGGCGCATCTTAGTCTCCAGACTGACACTGTTGCTCTTTAGTACCTTGGAGATGTCTCTGACAGCTGACTTTCCTAATACAATTTGTCTTTTTATTTCCTAGATGCTGGTACCAAGAGTGTTGATTGTAGAGCCAAGCAAACTGAAGCTGCTAACAATTACTTCTCCGTCTATCATGATGCTGCCAACAGCCCAGTGGTGAGAATCTTTGGTTTTTTGATGCTGAGCTTCAATTCATATTGAAGGTTGCAGTCCTTGACCACCTGCAGCAAGCGCTTCAGGTCCTCCTCAGTTTAAGCAAACAGGGTTGTGTCATCTGCATATAGACAGCTTTACATAAATTGTAACCTATATAGTTGTTACTATTGCATAAATTTGGCAAGTTGCTTAACTTCAATTTCAGACTATTAAATGCAAACCAACAGAGGATTAGCATTCCGGTTAGCTGAGTAACTTCCTATGAACTATGCCGAAAGAGTTCTCCAGAAGGACCAAATGAGACATCAGTTTAAAATGCACTATAAACAGTAAAGCATTTTAACATTATTTTTTTTCTTTCCATGTTTTACTCACCTCTGGAATGAACTCTCAGGCCAGAAAAGTAAAACAAAATGTAATAATAAATGCTCGCTATGGTCTTTGCAATCACTTGTTATGTATCGGAGAGTTGGACAGTGACTAGGGAGGATAGAAGGAATATTGATGCCTTTGAGCTGTGGTGCTGGAGAAGAATACTGAATATATCATGGACTGCCAAGAAAACAAACAGATTCATCCTAGAGAGGGTTAAACCAGGCTACTCCTTGGAGGCAAGGATTCTGGGGCTTCGTCTGACATACTTTGGACACGTTGTAAGGAGGGACAGGTCCTTGGAGAGGGACATCATGCTTGGGAGGGTGGAGGGACAGCGTAGGAGGGGAAGACCCTCTATGAGGTGGACTGATTCAGTGACTGGGGTAATCGGGATGGGTGTGTCAGAGGCAGTGTGATTGGCACAGGATAGGGCTACTGTACATAGGGTTGCTATGAGTCGCAAGCGAATGGACGGCACATAATAGTAACAACGGCTAACTCCTTGTATAATATAAAGAATCTGAAGAATCTAAATAATTAATCCAATATAAGTGATAAATCATCTTTATAGGCAGTTTCATTATAGCAATTTTCTAAGAGACTAATAAAAGCATAAGTTTATGTTTAAACTTGTTTCAATTTATTTTTCAATTTATTATGATAAGTAAAAAAGTGGCAGAATACTTGCCACCATTTTTAGAATCTTCTATCAACATTTTTTTTCCATAGTAAGAGCTGTGGTTATTTTCCAAACAATTTTATTGAAATGTGCCAAGAGGGGATGAAGGAGGAAGAAAAAAAAAACACCACAGTATTTTATAATCACCGCAAGTAATTTTTTAAAAGTGATATATAGTACATTTTTTTTTTTTTTAATTTTATTATTTTTTGTGTGTGTACCGTCAAATCAGATCTGACTGGTACAGGAGGAGATTGTCCCTCCTTCCCCGGCAGAGCATCTGGTGGATTTGAACCGTGCACCTCTGGGATTGTAGGTGCAGCTCCTTACCACTAGGCCACCAGAGCTCCCCCATAGTACATTTTTTAAATCAAATGTTATATATTACATTAAAAAATATGATGTAGAATACTGAATTGGTTTGTGATGTTATTTTAAGGATAAAACTAAACACTGTAACTCCTAAGAAAGCAATGATTGCTGTAAAAACACAATCACAGCAAGGTCAAACTGATTTTAAATAGAGATTTATTATGTATTTATGCCCTTTCTTTTCATCCTTCCAGTCCCAATTAAATTCTGAAATTCTAAATTGTTAAGTGCCATAAAATTCTAAATTCTAAATTAAGTGCTGTCAAGTTACTATGTGACTCATAGCAACCCTATGTACAACAGCTCTGAACCCTGCTCTATCTTGAGCCAATTTCATTGTCTCTGACACAGCTATCCCCAAATACCCCAGTTATTGAGCCAATCCATCTCATCCAGGGTCTTCCTCTCTTGCACTATGCCTCCACCCTTCCAAGCATGATGCCCTTCTCTAAGGGATGGTCCTTTTTTCGCAATATGCCAAAAGTATGTGAGACGGAGCTCCAAAATCCCTGCCTCCAAGAAGCAGCCTGGTTTCACCTTCTCCAGGACACACCAGGTTATAGAAGTCCATGGTATATTCAATACTCTTCTCCAGCACCACAGCTCAAAGGCATTCATTTTTCTTCTGTCATCCTTAGTCAGTGTCCAGCTCTGGATCATGTACACCTTAATCTCTAGACTGATGTAGTTGCTTCTCAGTAGTCTGGAGAAGTTTCTGACAATAGATTTGCCCAATGCAATTTGTCTTTTGATTTCCTGGCTACTAGTACCAAGAGTGTTGATTGTGCAGCCAAGCAAGCTGAAGCTGGTAACAATCTCAGTCTCTTCACTGTCTATCATGATGCTGTCATTTGGTGCAAGGGTGAAAATTTTTATTTTCTTGATATTGATCTTAATCCATATTGAAGGCTGTAGTCCTTGACCTTGTGCAGCAAATGCTTCAGTTCTCCTCACTTTCAGCAAGCAAGGTTGTATCATATCAGAATTTTTAAGAGTGTTAGAAAAAGGTGAAGATATTCCTGTTCTAGTCCTTTCATTAAAATTAAGCTCATCTGTCTACATCAACACAGAGCCACTCAAATAAAACACCAATTTTCCTGATGTTATACTAATATTGACCTAATTCTGCAGTCACCTTTGCAACTGCCCCAACGTTTCCTAAACTTTTCCCAATCATACTTTGAAACTGAATTGATTTTGTGTTACAATCAAGTATCTGTTACTTACCCACTACAGCGGCATCTTTATCACTAATGAACTTTTCAAATTCTTCTTCACTTCTGAGAGGAACTGAAGCAGGCCCTGCTTGCTTCTTCAGGTGGCTGACAATTCCATCTTAGAAAAACGTATAGGAATATTATTCATTTATAATTTTGTAAAAAATTACTCTTACAATTCAAAATAGAATAGGAGAAGAAAAAAAAGCATAGCCTTCTTCCTGTGCTTGTTCAATTTCCTCCCTAAAGGATAAAATTTTAGTTCCTTGTATATTCTTTCAAAACACTTTATGTACAAGCAATTACATATTTATTTTTTCTTTTATCCTCAAATGATAGCATACATTTAATAATTTAACAATGAATTTAGAAATAAATCAATATACCCAGAGGGTAACTGAAATATTTTTTACAATTGGGATAGTGCTGTTAAAAATGATTCTGCAACAAATAGCAGCATATCAACATTTTGCATATAACAGAGTATCTGTGAGGTAAACATTTAGAAATGGACTCTGGGTTAAATTTATAAATTGTTAAACTGGTTTCTAAAGAGACTATCGATTTATAATAGTACCAGGTATGTATTAAGATGTTTATAAAAGTAGAAATTAAATACTGTTGTGTATGTTCTTCTCTCTGCTTCTCACACTCATTCCCCATCTCCTCACTTGAATGTCATTTTTTCATTGCAAACCAAATCTTGTCCAACCTGTGACATCCTTTCTCTCTCTCCCCACACTTGCCTGTTGCATTTTTTTACAGTACTTTTAACCCTCTAATATATATACTACAGGAACTCCAGTGGCCTAGTGATAAAGAACTGTACTGGTATACCAAAAGGTATACGATTCAAATCCACCAGGTGCTCTGTGGAGAAAGATGGTCAATCTCCTCCTGTGCAATTTGCAGCCTCTGGTAACTCACTAAAGGGTCATGTATGAGAGGTTCTGACTGGATAGCACACAATAGGAGCAACAATATATACTATGTTCATTATTTTAGCTCTTCCCCCACTTAAAGTAAATTCAAAATTAATAGGGACTGCTCATTTTCCTTAACTGATATATAAACCTAGTTGTTAGAATAACTAAAAAAATCCACTCTCATCAAGTCAATTGTGACTAATGGTGATCCTCTATCAAGCTTCCATGGCTGTAAACAGGAGATTCGCTCACTTTTCTCCCAGAGTGGCGGGTGAGTTCAAATTTACAATCTTTTGGTTAGCAGCTCAGCATTTAACATAATACACCACCAAGCTCCTATTAGCTCCTAGAATAGTGCCTCAAAAATCCAAACAATTCCACTGCTACCAATTCCAACTCATCCTGCACCGCAGGAAGGAGCAGATCCCAGGGCTGGAATCTTTTATAGAAGCAGACTGCCACATTGTTCCTCCACAGAATGTCTGATAGGTTCAAACAATCTATCTTTTGGTTAGCAGCATAACCACTGCCTATTAAATAAAAAGAATAATAAACACCCTATTTCGTCATCTATAGCCTTACATTTTTTAACAAGAATATGCAACTTCATTAGGAGTTCAACCTCACACAAAAAAGTTTCTCCCTTAAGCTTAGTCGATAGATTATTATTCCACCTTGCTATGGGGCCCAATGAAACCATTCACAGGTTCAAAACGCTTCAGTCAGAAACAGGGCTACTTCTCTCATAGGACAATCTAGCTCCTTAATTTCAACATTAATTAAGCCTATTTTTAATTTATAAGGTAGATTTTCTTCTTTGTCCTTTTATTCAGGACTTATTTTCTTCGTGATCTTTAATTAAACTACTTTTAGAGGAGAAGCTGAAACCTGTAAGTAGATTGTTATTACTGTATCACAATAAAAAGAAATTACAGGAATATGAGGAAAAGGGTTACTGAGTATCTCTTATTTTCTGGAAGATGTAGAGAAGTTCCGAGAAACTAGTTCAAGCAGAACGGAAAGCTCATTTTTGGAGGAGTGCATCAGCATAATAATCTCACCTAACTAAAGACTTTCTGAATAAATGAGTCAAAGATCTGACCTCCTAAGCCACATGCTTAGAAAACTATGCAGTCTCTGGATGGTGCAAAAAAATGGTTTAGTATTTGACCACTGGTTGAGAAAGGTTGGAGGTTTGTATACCTTCAAAGACACCTTGGAATATACATAATCTGCTTTGGAAAGGTCACAGCCTTGAAAACCCATGGAGCGGTTGTACTCTGCATACATAGGAGGTCATTAGGAGTTGGAATCAACTCTATGGCAACTAACACAAGAAATCAATGTTATAGCCCAAGTGTTACAGCCTAACAGCAAATAAGCCCAAGTGAATTATTTCCCTGGTAGCAGTCTGTCTGGGTCCATCAGAGAAATTATCAATACATCTAACCCTCACCCCAGCTCTATCACAAATTCCCTCTGTGCTTACATGTACTAAATTCTGTGTTGGCTAAATGGTCTTAACTGAGCCAAAATATTTCTTCATGCATTCAACAGAATTGGGTTGCTCCCCTTAATATCACCTCTCATACTTGCTATGTTACAACTTAGTAACTTTTGAACCTATTTTCCCTATACTTGCAAAGCTCTGGATCTGATATACTCACAACCGATTCCTTCCTATCATTGAGGACTTAGTTTAAGGATTATTTCCCTTACCACTCTATTTATGTGGTGCTCCCATTCCAATCACCAACATACCACACTTTTTCTATTGTTATTTGAAATAGGCAAACAGAGGATTTGAACCACTTATTTTTGGATTGACATTACTGAATATAGCATGGAATGGACTGCCAAAAGAACAAATAGGTATGTCTTAGAGAAGGTGAAGCCAGAATGCTCCTTAGAGGCAGTGAGATGGATTGACACAGCAGTAGGCTCAAGAATGTGAGAGATGGATGTGGATGGCACAGAATAGGAAAGGATTCAGATCTATTTTTTAGTCACAATGAGTTAAACTAACGACAGTAGTATCTCTACTTGAGGGAGCTCAAGTGGCCTAGTGGATAGAATGTTGCACTACTAATCCAAAGGTAGATAGTTCAAATTCATCATCCACTCCAGAAGTGTAAAAAGAGTGGAAGATGGTACATGGGGACATAGGATCATGAGGAGTCTCTCTAGAAGGGCCAAAGGGAATGAGAATAGTACAGCCTTTCACCTCCCCAGAAAGCAGATCAAAAGCCCTTAGTCTAGCCCCATGGTGCCTCTAGAGTCATACTAGCAACAGGTTTGTTTATTCGGGAAATAAGAGTGGGTGAGGCAAAGAGTTTCTCACTATATAAGTTCATAATTTATGAATTGTGACTTCCAGGTCATAATTTCTTAATTAGTACAAGTCCTGGTTTCAGTTCAGCAACACAAATTCAAGAAGCCTCTGGTTTCCACAACCATCCAGCAAGGTTTGCCTCAGAGCAGTTACAAGTCAGCTTCTTCAAATCATGCAGCAAGAACAGCAATAACATTTAACTGTGGCCTTTATCTCAGGGCTCCTCTGGTTACACCATGCCAGTTTTTCCACAGCAATACCACAGTCTCTCCATCACCAACACCAAGGTCTCGCTACAATCTCCCTCAATTCTTGCTGCCCAGTGTGTGAAATACTCCCTTATCCTAGTTCCACAGCTGTTGATTATTTGCAAGATTGAGTCTGCAGTTAAGGTTGCTAGAGCCCAGAGACAGCTAAATTAATGGCTTAAAAAAAAGCCAACTTTAGGTTTACATTGCAATGGGAGAAAGATGAGCAATCTCCTCCTGTGCAAATAATGGCCACTGAAAACCTGCTGCAGAAGCAGCTATGAGTTGGTTCTGGTGCAAGGGCAATGACAGATTATTGCTGAATTTATCTCATTCATAAGTATTTTAAAGTCTTCTCATTGCCTATAGTGTAAGCTCGACAAGATTAAGGACTTCATCTATTTCAATTATCATTTAAAACCAAGCACCTAGAAATTAGTCACAAAAGGACAAATACTGCATAAGACCGCTGTCATCAAACTAACAGCAAACTAAAATAAGGTTTACATATGGAAAGAATTAGTTCAGTAAGGTTATAAGGAATGGGAAAAGTGGAAAATCAGTAGACAGTTAATGAATACCTTATTAGAACAAATGATGGGAAGGATGTGGAGTAAACATGATCAGATACTTTGTGAATTTTAACTGGTGATATGGAACAAGATTAGAATAAAACAACAAAAAGCTAAGGAAGTAATCAAGTGTGGAGGCTGATAGGGATGGGAAGGAAGGGAAAGGAAGGATGGGTAGGAGAAAGGCAAGATACAGTGATGCGATGAAACATTTTTAATAAATGGCACTGATCAATTATAATTAATGTTATAAAACAAAATTTATATGACTAAAATAAAATTAAAAACAAAAACCCACCAAACCCCAAGCACCGACAGTGTCTGCCATAAGGCACACAGTAGATACTATGTATTTGTTAAATCAAAGAGTGTAAACCTGCCTTTATAATTCAAGTTTTATAGTTTATTATATATAATTTACAGAACCTATTTAAAGAAGTTTTCTACAAACTACCAAAGTGACATTTTATTTCTTCCCCCCCCCCCCCGCCCCCCAAAGTGACATTTTAGATGAAGGATTTTAAGACTGGAAACATGTTCAGTAAAATAGTCCATATTCTCACCATGAAGAATAAGATACTGAACAAATTCTGCTTCCAGATTACAATGCAGGATCCTTACCAGCAGTCCTAGGCCCATCATAAGCACCTGCTTCTTCACCATCTCTAAATATCTTCAGAGTTGGATATCCACTGACTCCATACTTATTACAGGTGTTTGTGTTGGCAGTACAATCAACCTAAAGATTAAAACATAAAAATAATTTTCTTATCCAAAATACTTATAACAAGCTCTTCAATATATCTAAAATATCAGGATTGGTCAAATCATAAGATGATCAAGCAGTTCTTTGCATACATACCACAGAAGTCTAGAGTTTAAATGCATACTGCCACTGAGCTGTGTCAAAACTATCAAAGGGAATTCCTCAAAATGTCCACTTTGGGGCTTCTGAGAAAATGCAAATGACTATTTAAATTCTGTCCTTAGTGTCTTTATTGTCTAGAACTGGTGTTTCTACCTTTTATTTGCCTTAGTACAAGTCAAAGATAAATCATTTAAATTAACAGCAAGGTACTTTGATAATGACTAATAGATGTGGAAGGGTTAATTATAATTGGCAAATCTAGTACCCATATATACAACCTCAGCTAGTCTGAATCTTGATTAAACCATATATAACATAATATGTAGAGTAGTGAGATCTATCAGAAAGAAAGAAAAGACTTTACATTTATTTGGCCACTTTCTCCAAACTTTGTAATACTACTAGCGCTTTGCACATATTACCTTATTCAGTTTCACAACATTTTGAGTTATAACAGAAATGCTATAGTAGGTAAACTGAAGTCCATACAGCAATTATGTCTATAATCATACAAGACGGGAGTTAAATCATGACAAAATTACTATTTTCTATACCAAGATGCTTAACTTTTAGGGTTAAAAGTAGTTGTTTCCAAAAACAGTTTGGTGTATGTCTGAACACTTTGAGACTGACAAAGACATGAACTTTGAGAATGATGCAACTATGATTTTACCACAGAAAAAAAATAAACTTCTAGAAACATTACTTTGATTTAAAAATAAATACCAAGTTAATTGTTAACTAATTGGTTACGTACTTATCCACATCCTCATATAAACTTTACATTCTATTATTATGATTTGCATTTGCTCAGTGACAATTTTCTGCTAAGCTTTACTGGTGGATCTTTACTTTCCTTTTCATTCTTATTTATCATAGTTTACTTCTATATGACAGTAATTCCCTCAGTTTCACTTTTAATCTGTTGAAGCCACAATATGGTAGTTGTACATTTTTTCGAAAATTAGTATTGGTTCTTAGCACCATAAGAGTAGAAAAACGAACACTAATTTTACAAGCTATGATTAGAAATATATTTTATTTAGTGGAGAGTCTACTTCTACTTACTTTTGCTAATGGGACTATTCCTTTTAATCTAGTAGCTGCAGCTTCATATTCAGGGGCAAGTCTTTTGCAGTGTCCACACCTAAATACAAAAGAAAATACCAAATTCTCAATATAATTCTAGTTTGCATCTCTAGGGAGAATCTCAAACTACAGCACTAATTTTAAACAGCTGCCTCCTGAAGCAAACCCACCACTTGAACAATATCCACTACTGTTTAAGTAAGAACCCCCAGGAGATAAAGTTCTTATCACGAGCCCAAAGTTGATACTACAAAACCATTTTCAGTTCATAAGTAGCATTTACTTTCTCATTTAAAAGTACAAATAGGTCCCTGAAGTTAAAAAGTATGTTGTGTGTTACAGAGTTGAAGAGCAATGGTTTCAGGTCCTTCTGACTAAAAGATGAGGGTAAAATTAATAACTTCCTGTTAATATTCCTCCCAGAGAAAAGATTTTTTCCCCAAACCAAAACTATGAAAACAAAAAGTTTCTAAGGCCCAAGCATGTAAATCTTTTTTTTTTTTAATTTTTTTTAATTATTCTTTTTTGTGTGTGTGTGTACCGTCAAATCGATCTGACTGGTACAGGAGGAGATTGTCCCTCCTTTCCCGGCAGAGCATCTGGTGGGTTTGAACCGTGCGCCTCTGGGATTGCAGTGCAGCTTCTTGCCACTAGTCCACCAGAGCTCCCCTCCAAGCTTGTAAATCTTTCTTAACTATTTTTTTTAATCACTATTAACTGAGTCAACCACAGATGATCAAAAGGGCAACATTAGGCTAATGTTTAGAAGACAGAAGGGACAGGCAAGAAATTAATGGAAACAGAAAACACAAAGTGCTGAGTGTTGTTAAAATACAGGAATGTGATAACGTTATCAAACAATATGAATGACTACTAAATTAAAAACCTATCTGCTCTGGAAACTTTGACTCAAATCCCAATATAGCTTTTTAAAAAATTACCTTCAACAGGTTACTTTTTATCTGTTTATGACCAGAAACCAAATTTGAGGGAAAGAGGGTCAGAAAGCACTGTTCCAATTTTAGTATATGTGCCGCCGAAGCGAGCACAAGAAAGCACTGTTTTATATGGCAATTTCAACAAGTTGAAAGTTTCAAGTAAATTTTAGCACAACAGAATGACGGCTTGTGATTTTTAGGGCTACACAGTTCTCCTGACCATGACAACTGACTAAAACATTATGTCAACTAGAATACTTTCCCCAGAGTACCACCATAAACACCTGCTCCTCTGCCCAAAAAGTCCCAGCGGTGTGCTGTACATGCGATTAAGGAGAAGGGGGCAAAGATAAACATCTAGCACCAGCTGTATATCATCTCTTCAAAAGCCAAAGGGTTGCAAAAGGATAAGGTGCTCTAGAACCTCGATAGACAGCTAAAGAATAAATTAGAAAACGGAAGGAAACAGGAAAAAATACCTTGAAGTGATGTATCTCATGGTCAATGCTCTCAAATTTTGTTTTAATTAAGTGATGTATGTGTTAAGAAACACAGAAACTTTTACCTCTAAAATTTGTTTAAAACAATGATTTACAAGTGCTTATATTCAAGAGTTTCAGCAATCCTATTCAAAAGCAGTTACTAGAAAGCATAAAGTAATGCTATGAAAATACTGTAATAAATGTTGGGCATATATATTAAAATACAGATAAAATAACAAATTCTAGATGATACAGTGCATTAAACAGGGAAGGGGTGTAGATGGATTTCAACTATATTAACAATTGTTTTTGTTAGGTTCCACTAAGATGATTAGGATTTATACAACTCTATGAACAAGCATGCTCTAACCTGCATCATCCTCTCCAATTCGTTTAAGCCCAGTTACCAATCCTCTCATGGAAGGTCTTCCTCTATTTCACCACCTTTCTCAGTAAGAGGTCTTTTCCCAAGGATGACTCCTAACAACATGCCTAAAGTATGTGAGAAAACGCAGCACTGAGGGGTTTTATTTGTGGCTGTGTGCCATCAAGTTGGAAATGATCATAGCTGAACCTTCAGTGAGTTTTCAGAGGCAATTAACCACACGGGAAGAGGTTGCCCATCTTTCTCCTGTGGAGCACCTGGCAGATTTGAACCATGCACCTTTGGTCTGGCAGCACCAATTCTCACCACCAGACTTTTAGGAAACATCATGATAAATGGAAAAAGACTGAAATTATCAAATTATTTCATCTTAACTTGGATCCATAATCATCACCTTTGGTACCATTAGGAGATAGACTATAGTCAAGGACATTTCTAAATTACTGAGGAGCAAATTAATGATGTAAGTGGTCTTCAGTGAAGACTAAGGTGTGCCTGATTCAGGCCATGGTTTTTACACTTGCTATCTCATAATCAATTACTGTCATCTTGAAAGCTGGACAAAGAATAAAGATGACGGAAGAAGAACTGATGCCTTTGAGTTGTGAAGCTGGAGTACTGAATATCCCATGGACTGCCAAACGAGTATGTCTTGGACAAAGGGCAGCCAGAACACTCCTTGGAGGCAAAGATGACAAAGCTTCACCCAACAGACTTTGAGTAGACCCCTTGGAAAGGGGCATCATGCTTGAAAGGATGGAGGAAGGAAAGAGGGGAAGACTCTTAAACAAGATGGAAACAGTGACTGCAGCAATGGGCTCAAGTATGCCAAAACTGTTGAGGTTGGCACAGGACAGGATAAGGATAAGGTCTATTGTTCATAGGATCACTGTGAGTCATACTCAACTGGACCGCACTGAGTGGACTATAATGTACTACATGGGTACATATTTCACATTTTGTGAAACTGAGATGTGTCTTCAAATTATGTCATAATTTCAATGGTAGCATTTCTTTCTTAACGAGATAAAATAATGGCTCATCTCAGAATCAGTGACATCACAGATGTGTTTGAAACATGGAATTATGTTACTATACTCTCTATAGGGCATGATGGTAGTTTAGTCTGTAGAGAACTACACTGTTAACCCAAAGGCCAAGCTTCTCTGGAAGCTGAATCCACCAACGGCTTCTTTGGAGAAAATAGGTAATCTCTTCCTGTGAAATTTACAGCCTGGAAAATACAATGGAGGGTAAGCTATGACTTAGTTTCAATTCAACAGGCAATGAGTTGAGTTATACTCTATTCCTTCAACATTGTTTAATAATTTAAAAATTAACATACTTCCAAAACAACTATGAGATATCATCTTACCCCAGTCAGAACAGCAAAATTTAACAGAACAGCAAGCAACAAATGCTGGCGAGGTTGTGGAGAAACTGGAACCCTTACTCACTGTTGGTGAGAGTGTAAAATGGTGCAACCACTGTGGAAGGCGGTATGGTGCTTTCTTAAAAAAGTTGCAAATAGAGATACCACTTGACCCAGCAATTCCACCTTTGGGAATATATCCCAAAGAGACCATAACTGACATCCAAGCAGATATATGCACACCCATGTTTATTGTGGCTTTGTTCACAATAGCAAGAAATTGTAAACAACCCAGGTGCCCATCAACAAACAAATGGATAGAGAAGCTGTGGAATATTCACAGAATCGAATACTATGCTGCACTGGAAAAACAAGGAACTCATTCAATATTATTCAAAATGGGTGAGCCTAGAAGACAGTATGCTGAGCGAAATATCTCAGTCGCAAAAGGACAAATATTGCATGGTGCCACTGCTGTAAAATGGGACTGATATCAGGGTTGGGGTAAGACTGAGAAACTGGATAAATTATGTATACTGCACTGAAACAGATGAGGGAGTGAATAATTTAAAAGTGTGGGTGAGCTCTGGTGGCCTAGTGGCAGGAAACTGCACTGCAATCCCAGAGGTGCATGGTTCAAATCCACCAGATGCTCTGCTGAAGAGGGAGGAACAGTCGCCTCCTGTACCAGTCAGATTCAATTTGACGGTACACACATTAAATAAAGAAATAAATTAATTAATTTTTAAAAAAAAGTG